AAAAAAAAAAAAAAAAAAAGAACATGCTCTTTCCCCTCATGGAGCGAATAAATATGTGTGTGTGTGTCTTGAAGGGATTATGTTTCCATGGCTGACCAGAGGAGCTGAGCCTAACCTGCTCTGCCAGAGCTAGGACTGGAACCCAAACTTCGACTCCTAAGCAGGTTCCAAACTAATAATCTGAAGGGTTTTAAGGCAGTGTTCTCCATTAAATATAGTTTGTAACCTTTGTATTAAGCCAGGTTATGTTACAGTAACATTCCTAATATTTCTGTGGCTTCATACAACTCACCTTTTTGGGTTCTTTGTTTGTTTGTTTGTTTTCTTTTGTTTAAAGACAGAGAGTCTCTCTCTGTCATGCAAGCTGGAGTAGTGGCGTGATCATAGCTCACAGCAGCTTCAAATTCCTGAGCTCAAGTGATCTTCCTGCCTCAGCCTCCTGAGTAGCTGGGACTACAGGTGTGAGCCACAACATCCAGCTAATATATACGCATATAAAATATGTATTGTATATATGATAATAAAGACAGGATCTCACTATCTTACCCAGGTTGGTCTTGAACTTGTGCTGAAGTGATCCTCTCAAAATGCTGGGATTACAGGTGTCAGCCACAGCGCCTGGCCACAAATCATGTTTGTTTCTTGCTCAAGCTACAATGTTTAATGTGGGTTATCAGAGGGATTCTGTTCATTTCTCTTTCCTGGACTACATTAGCAGCCAGGAAGTTCTGCTTCTCACTGGAGGCCCAGGCTGATTGGAGGCTCCATCTTCTATGAGACAGGAAGAGGGAACTTGGCGAATTCCATAAGGCTCTTCAGATTTCCACCTGTCATTTATATCATTGGCCAAATCAAGTCATGGGCATGCCTAAATTCAAGAAGACCAGGAAAACATGATCTTATCATGTACTTGGAAGGACAGGAGAATCACAAGGTTTGCAGCAGACCTAATGATGACTACAAAGACCTCATTATTTTCTGGTCAGTTTCTATTTCTGACATGGTCATAGTTACAAATTTAATTTTTCAGCTAGATCCTAGTAAGAAGGAGGACCAACTCTTTAAACCTATGCAAATAACTACATCAACCCAGGCTGGGCATGGTGGCTTATGCCTATAACCTCAGCACTTTGGGAGGTTGAGGCAAGTGGATCACTTGAGGGCGGGAGTTCAAGACCAGCCTGGCCAACATGGTGAAACTCCATCTCTACTAAAAATACAAAAAAATAAGCTGGATATGATGGCACATGCCTGTAAACTCCAGCTTGTTGGGAAGCTGAGGCATGAGAATTGCTTGAATCCAGGAGGTGGATGTTGCAGTGAGCCGAGATCGTGCCACTGTACTCCAGCCTGGGCGATGGGCAATGGAGTAAGACTCCGTCTCAAAAACAAAACAAAACAACAACAACAACAAAAAACCAAAAACAACAACAACAACAAAGAAAACTACACACACACACACACAGAAAAAACCAGAAAAACTACATCAACCTGAAAAGTGGAGCAATCCACTGCTGACTGCCCAGGGTAGTCTTGTAAACAAGGTCAATTGATGCATCATGTTCTCTACAGGATCAGTGACACCATTTACAAATATGATTTGTTGGCCGGGCGCGGTGGCTCAAGCCTGTAATCCCAGCACTTTGGGAGGCCGAGATGGGCGGATCACGAGGTCAGGAGATCAAGACCATCCTAGCTACGGTGAAACCCCATCTCTACTAAAAAATACAAAAAACTAGCCGGGCGAGGTGGTGGGCGTCTGTAGTCCCAGCTACTCGGGAGGCTGAGGCAGGAGAATGACGTAAACCCGGGGGGCAGAGCTTGCAGTGAGCTGAGATCCGGTCACTGCACTCCAGCCTGGGCGACAGAGCGAGACTCCGTCTCAAAAAAAAAAACAATAAAAAAAACAACAAAAATAAAACAAATATGATTTGTTTACAGATGTATTTGGATTAGTGGAATTTAAGATAAGTACCATCTAAAACCAAATTTTTTTCTTTTTTTGAGACGTAGTCTCACTCTGTCACTAAGACTGGAGTGCAGTGGCACAATCTCGTCTCACTGAAACCTCTGCTTCCCGGGTTCAAGCAATTTTCATGCCTCAGCCTCCCAAAAAGCTGGGATTTTAGGCATGTGCCACCACACCCAGCTAATTTTTGTATTTTTATTAGAGACGGGGTTTCACCATGTTGGTCAGGCTGGTCTCAAACTCCTGGCCTCAAGCAATCCACCTGACTTGGCCTCCCAAGGTGCTGGGATGACAGGCATGAGCCACTATGCCCGACCTATTTCTTTTACTTATTTATTTTGTGTGTGTGTGTGTGTGTGTGGGTGTGTGTGTTGATTTTTGTTTTGAGACGGAGTCTCTCTCTTGTCCAGGCTGGAATGCAGTGGCGTGTTCTCGGCTCACTGCAATGTCTGCTTCCCAGCTTCTCCTGCCTTAGCCTCCTGAGTACCTGGGACTACAAGCATTGCGCCACCATGCCCAGCTAATTTTTGTATTTTTAATAGAGACAGGATTTCTCCATGTTGGCCAGGCTGGTCTGGAACTTCTGGGCTCAAGCGATTCACCCACTTCGGTCTCCCAAAGTGCTAGGGTTGCAGCCATGAACCACCAAGCCTGGCCCACTTACTTCTTTTTTGGACCAAAAGTATAAGTGATGAATGCAAAAATTGATAAATTGGACTTAAAATGCAAAACTCTTGCTCTTTAAAAGACAGCCTTAAGAAAATTAAAAGGCAAGCAACAGACTGGAGGAAATATTTACAAAACACATCTGATAAAGGATCTGTATTCATAATATACAAAGAACACTTACAACTCAGTAATTATAAGGCAGTTGACCCAATCAAATAATGGGCAAAAGAAATGAACAAACTTCATTAAAGAAGATACACAGGTTGAGTGCGGTAGTTCATGTCTGTAATCCCAGCACGTTGGGAGGCTGAGGCGGCCGGATCACTTAAGGCCAGGAGTTCAAGACCAGCCTGGCTAACATGGCAAAACCTGTCTCTACTAAAAATACAAAAATTAGCCAGGTGCGGTGACGCATGCC